GATATGGAATTGAGGCATGTTGGCTAACTTAGGACTTAAGGAGAGAAAATTGTTATTGAAAATTGAAGATCTCACATAGGGTATTTTGAGTGGTGCTCGAGTAGGTCACTATTGAAAAACCCTCCTCAAGTAGGTGTAGTATCTCTTGGAGTGGGCTTTTGAGATGCTTGAGTCTCTTTCAGGTCTTTAATTAGTGATTGAGTAAGGTAGGAGATTGAGGGCTACAACTGTTAATCAAGTATTTGGAAATGTTGCGTGGTTCCTTGAGGATGGTCAATGGGATAACTAGGACATAGGATTATTTTAAAGTTATTGTATACATGTGTATATATCTTATCTATATTAGTGTAGGTGTACTGTTATATTCATGTTCTACATACATGCATGACACGTTCTCTCATTTAATTTTGAATGTTCTGGTAGGCTAGTTTCTACTGCTAGTAGTAATGATTTTATTTAGTGTGGCGATCAGGATGAGTCATTACGAATTCATGTATTAGCTAGCATTTTGATATTTTAAATGTTGCTTTAAGTAGGATAAGTGTGTGCACGTCATATATATAGAGGAGGGATCCATTTACTCCAAGAGTAAATCTATCTAAACTTACTCTGTTCAGTAACTCATATTCTACATCAAATATCAACAATCCAACCGTTGAATTTAAAGTGTTTAATACATAGATCAAATCTACAAACTTTTAGACAATTTAAAAATCATTTGATACTTCATTTCATTACTTCAAATCAATGTATAAAATAATTTTATGATTATCCATCAATTTGAATTAAAGAAATGAAATATCAAATGATTATCAAATTTTCTAAAAATTTGCAGATTTGATCTATGCATTAAGAACTTTAAATTCAACAGTTAGATCGTTGAAATTTGATGTAGAACATGAGTTATTGAATGAATTGAGTTCAAATAGACTTACTTCTAGAATAAACGGATCCCTCCTCATATATATATATATATATATATATATATATATGATATATAGAT